GCACCTGAACTCAACAGAGGCTCCCGAGGTAACTTCTGGAAGCCCAAGAGCTGTTGCTTTAGTGTCCCAGCTGAGGCAAGTAGAGACTCATAGGAAAGAGCCAATGAACCTGGGTTTTCTCTTTTTATTCTCTTAGTTAAAAGTATACGAGGGTTCAGCCACGAAGAGGGAAAAGACGGACTGTAATGGTACGAAATCTTACTGCATCCAGAAGCTTCCAGCACGTGAGGGTAAAAGTCTTTTTTTTTTTTTTGTAAAGCATTGCAGTAAATATTCTAGCAGCCTGACCAGAGGGGGCTAGGTAACGAGAGACCCTGTGTCACCACGACGGCACAGGTGCAGGGGCCTCTCCTTAGGACAGGATCTTCAGGTGTGACCGGTTCCCAGCCCAGGAGAGGCTGTGTGCCCGACTATGCTCAGCCCCACCCGGTCCCACAGTTGCCGCTGGATGTCCCTTGTGGACTGTTTAATAACCCCACATGTTTAATTCAGCTTCATCCAAAGGAAAGCTTAAAACCGAATACATCCTATTTCCTAGTTCCTTTTTAGAAAAAGAAAGCACGAACAAATTCAGAAAGGAAAAAAAATGTTACAGGATAAGTACTGAAACCAGGTCAAAATGCTCACCCTCCCCCAGCCCAAGAGGCCTGTGCCACAAAACAGAGACACCAGGCGCTTCGATCAAAGCCCTTTCCCTGATTAACTGGTAACGGCAGAGGCCAATGTAAAGAAAGAAAGAACATCCTTAAAAACGGGGCAGATTGTAAAAATACAGGGAAGGAGGCGGCAGGGTGGCGAGGGGCCTCTGCGCGGGCCGGTCTCCGTGCCCAGGGCCCTCGGCACCTGCCTGCAACCCAGCCGTCGGCCTAGGGAGCTGCACTCCACTTCCTTTGGGTTCTAGGAGGCCGTGTGTCTCAGCCAGAGCAGGGGGTGGGGGTGGGGGCGCGGGCCAGGCCTGGAGGCACGTTGAAGTTACCCGTCTTCCAAATGGAGGCTCGCATGTTGCAGAGGACTCGAGTCAACATAAGGTTTGGTTTAGTTTTGAAAATGATAAACTCGCCAGGAATCAACAGGTCACTTGATCGTGCTGCCGCGAGTCTTTCTGAGGATAGGAGGGTGATGTTAGAGGAACACCAGAGAGAGAATTCAGGCCCGGGAACCGGTGGGGCAGATGTCTCGGAATGATTAGTGTCAGGGCCGGAGCATGTCTTCACACCATCTGAGCAGCCTTCTGTCGCACACGGCAGGGCTGGGCGGCCCCAGAGCTTGCCCACCTCGGAGCCCTTTGGCCCATGTGCGTAACCTACTCCGCTCCCCGCCCGACACTAACCGGGGTCGGCACAGGCCCTGAGGAGGCCAGAGTCTGCTTCTTGGGCAGCATGAATTTTGTTTTAAAAAGGAGCACTACAGTATCATTTGGGGGGGGGGGGGGGCGGGGCAGTGTGGTCTCCATAGAGAAAACGTGATCCTGAATCTGCCACGGGACATGAGCACGTGGACCTCTCTCAGAGCTTTTAGGGATTTTTAAAAAGCTTTTGACGGGGTTCTGCCGTGCAGCCTATAAACTTGGTTAGCATAGCACCGGAAGACAGATCTATCCAGGAGTCAGAAAACAAAGGTAGGAGACAAAGGTCGTTTCTTGGGGCAAGAGGGTTTTAAAGGTTTCCTCGCGGATGAGTGCTAGGACCGGCCTCGAGCGGCGGGCGGACGTGACCTCGCTCGCTTTGCCAGCCGAGGGTTCTTTCGAGGCCCCGTGTGTGCAGAGACAAAGGACCGGTAAGCTCCCGTGTGAGCCGCAGCAGCGGACCATGTGCAGGGGAGAGGGCGCGGCTCTCCTGGGCAGGTAGACTGGACGCCGTGGATGCTGGAACAGAGCCCATTGTGCCGCTGGCCGGCCGGCCTGGAGGGCAGCGCCTCGGGGGGCAGAATCCCAACAACGGACCAAACCCCGGACCCTGCTCCGTCCCCATTTGCCCCAGCCCGTGTAGCTTCTGGTGTTTTTGTCACAAAAGGCCAGGGTCTCACAGTCGTGTAGAAGGGGGCGACTAGGACAGTGGGGCGACGGGTCCCTGTGAGCCGGGCCGCAGGGGTTCAGGCTCACCGAATAAAACGTTGGGCATTTCTGCGGAGAGCATCTAGCACGTGCTGTGACTAGCCAGCAGGAGTTTTTACCAAATACTAGAACCTACCACTCGAAGCCACAAGATGACCGTTCTTTTGACGGAAAGCACTGGGAGGTGGGCGGAAGTGAGGGCAGGTTATGGAGGGTGTGGGCAGAGGGCAGGCTTGGTCCAGAAGCACAGTCGAGGTGGAGGGCCACCCGCCCTGGGATGTTTGGGGACAGGCCAGCCCTTCTTCAGAGTGGTCCCCGGAGAAGCCCCACCCCACCCAGAGCACATCTCGTGCGGGGAAGAGAGCGGGCTCGTGGAACGGCCCCCACCAGCACACCTCCTCTGCTGCCCTTTCGCTCTCGAGGCACACGCTCGAAACTGACCGGCAGCGAGTGCCAGGACGTGTCTCCGGAACATGTCTGAGTACCTGTTTACGCGCCACCCCCCGCCCCAGCTCTGTACCGTGAGCCCTCCCCTCCCCTGATGCCGTGGAGGAATCCACCGCACCAGATGGCGCTTTTCTCTAGAGGGAAAGAGCCAGTTTAGGTCGGGGCCCGGCCCTGAGGCTGCTGCTGTGACCCTTGTTCCCAGTGTCCCCGTCCGTGACTCTGTGACATGTGCGGGGAGAGCGGGGTATCTGTGTTTTCCCCACCGTCTACAGTCTGCACAAGCTCACCTGAGGGAAGAGTGGCTGTAGCGACATCGGAAGCCTGTGCCCATGACCGCTTTTGGCCTTGAAACCAATGAATGAAGGCAGAGGAGCTCTCTGCCCCCTTCCCTTCCCATTGCTACCAAATGGTCCACCCTCTGGGATACGTAGACTAGTTGACGCATTGGAACAGATCTTTTAGAGGAGACCCCGGAGAGTTTGAGCCCCCCTCCCTTCCCCCACCTTGCTACAGTGTTTGGACAGGAGGGTACGCGCTGCTCTGTGCAGCAGAAACTTCTGCTTATCAAGAGGCGGCCGGGCATTTTGCACTAGAAAGAATCAGTGATCACTTTTCAGAAGACTTCTGCGGACCATAAGCATATTACGGAGGAACAGATTTTGCTAAGACGTAATCTAGTTTTATAACTCAATCATGGATCACCCACATGTGGCTAACTTGCAGTTTAAAGGGGTCCCCATCAGTGGAAAAAAAAGTTTTTTTAATTGATTGCTTTTAGTTAAATTTGAGAAAGTCCTCTCTCGTCAAAAGGTTTAAACCTTCCCGCCTCGATCTTAAAAGCATGTTAAACAATCCACGTCAGATGCCATAAACATGAGCTGCAAGAGTAAATGGTACAATCTTAGTGAATGGGAGTTGGAATCAAAAGGGTTTGCTGTCCTTCTTAGGATGTTCTAAAATGTCAAGGCAGTTGCTTGTGTTTAACTGTGAACAAATAAAAATCTATTGTTTTGCACTACTCTGCTGTGTTGACGTGAAGTGACCCGTGCTGGCCTCGGAGGGGCTCCTAGGCGGAGTAGGGACCCACCCAAAGATGCAGAAGCCTCAGGTCTGGCTTGGTTGGTTACCCCGAGCGGCTGGAGGAGGTGCTGTCAGACCCTTTTTGTTCTAGAAAGTTACCTGGCACACAACCACGGATCCTACTTTATCCGCCTCACGTTCTCGCCTGCCCCCAAAGAGTGGCACGGTGCCGTGGGAGACGTGATCGGAGCCCTCTCCCCTGAGACCCGCTAGGCCGGACAGCCTGCCGGGCCCACGCTGCTGTCCCCTCTTGCGCTCGGAGCGTGCTTGCCGCCCTAAGGGGTTGGCTGGCCGTTGGGTTGAGCCCAGGTGGCACCGAGATCACGGAGAGCTTACCAACCCTGAGCCTTGCCGTTGTGTTCTGTGAGCGTGTCAAGGAAACGGTGCAGCTGGCGGCCGCCATAATGTCACCAGGTGTTTGGAAGGAGGCGGGAAACCACCTGAAACAATTGTTAGATCCAGCTTCGCCTCACCGTCCCTTCCCTGGAACATACGTTTCCAGCTGCCCCTGGAAACGGGTGTGCTCTGACCGTTTTAACGACGGAAGCAGCTCCTTTGAGATAAAGACTGAGAGGTGGCAGCTTTTAATTTTGTCGCAGAACCCTGATACCTATTCGGGTTCTCGTCCCAGTACGCTCTAACTACGGGAGTTACCGCGCCGGCGTGGGGCGGGGGGGGGGGGGGGCCGGGGGCTTCAACCTCCTAAGAGCAGACTCCCGTCTCTAGCGGTTGCTCTTTGCTGGCGGTTTTGCTTGTGAGCCTACTGCCCAGTGTCCTCTGATGTCTTAGGGTAAGCGTAGTTTTCTTTAAGGGAGAGGTCCCAGGAAACCAAGCCAGGCAGACAGGTGGGAGAACACTTTTTATTCTTGACGGTCGCCCCCGAGGAAGCAAGAATACAGAATCTAAGTCGCCCCCTGCGAAGGGAAAAACCAACAGTCAGACAGTACTTCCAGCAGCTCGGAGGCCAGAGACACAGGCTACGACGTCAGAGCCTTGACTGCGCCCCGGAAACCAGGGGACTGTCTTACTTGGGAGCTGCAGAGTCCTCCCGGCCCCTCTCATGGTCTCCCTCCCCCAAGTAAAGGAGAGCAGAGGCAGGTTCGTTCCCCCTTGGGTCCAGACACCTAATGACACCGAGGAAGTTTACCGCGCCGGCCCCCAGCATCCTGGCGGACGGAGGGACCCTACAGTGGCCACAGCGGTGGGAAAGGAGCCCTGTGGCCTCCCGCTTGGTGGCTCTGCCTGGAGAGGCGGGCCTGGCAGGGTGCTGGCCTGGAGCTCCCGGAGCGCCTAGGCGGGCCAGTGCCCCGGCTCTCGCCAGCCTCTCCCGGCAACACTGGAAGTGGGCGCAGAGCCTGAAGCCCAGAGGCGTGGAGCGGTGAGAACTTAAAAGTGAGCGAGAGGGAGACAGGTTCTCAGTGGTATATTGGGCAGTCCCCTTTGGGGTTCATCAGTTGCCATGACCGGAGCCCAAGTGAAGAGTCGGCAACCCCCCCCCCCCCCACCCCCACCACCACACGGGGCTCAGCAGGGCGCCAGCTCTGAGTTACAGCTTCCCGCCAGGTGGTCTCCAGGGAGGTTTTGGACATCCTTTGTCTTTCCCCCTTGGTTTGGGGCTGTCTTTTGTAAGTTGCCTAAGTTGGTGTTTTCTTAACCAAGACTGGGTGCTCATGGTCCGGGAAGGCGGAGCGGCTGCTGCGGTGGCTTCCTGGCGTGCCTGGGGCTCACTCACGTGCAGCACAGCTTTGCGGGGCAGCTTCTCCGAGTGGGCGATCCATTCTTTCATCAAGTCTAGGACCATGGGGATGAGGCTGACGATGCCTCCGTAGTGGTTCCTAGCCTCGTCACAGCTGAGGTGGTTCACCACATCGTGAGGGTACCTGCAGGGTGGCAAGAGGGGGCTCTTCCAGACCGGGGCAGTGTCTAATCCTGACCACACATTACAATCCCCGGGGAGGTTCTGGACGCTGTGGTTCGGCGGGCTCACGGGGCCATGAACCGTAGGTAGTCCTGGCATAGAGAGGCAAGATGCTTGAACCACTGGCCTGTGGTCGTAGAGACCCGGATTAGGGGCCGTGGAAACCCGTAACGGCTCCAAAATGTGCTTAGTCCCTCCGACTCTCCTCATCCCCAGTAACTAAACAGCATCCTCCGGAATATGGTGCTTTGTGCTGAGGACTCCCCAGGGCTCGGAATGAGGGAGCCACACTGGGCGGTGCTGAGGCCCACATGCCCACAGGGATGGGCTCCAGAAGTCCTGCTTCTCCGTGGGCTTCTGGGAACATCTGCTCTGACTCCCCCTCCCCTTGCCCAGTGCTGGCTCGTCTGTGTCCCACTGTATGTGGGGCCTCAGCGTCCCTTGTTTTCAGTAAGAGGATTGGTTGGGTTGGCCCTTTGGGTACATCGGTGGGCCTCAGATTCCCCACCTCGGGGCGGGGGGCGGTGCTGGACAGTAGCCACATGACCCATCAGTCCCGACATTCCTGTCCTCTGGAGAGAAGGCTCCTTCCTGTGGGACCCCTCCCTCCCATCCTCACCCCACCGCCCTCCCCACATGCTCATGCTGCTGACGCCTCCGGGACAGGCCCAGAAGCCACTTACTTCACTCGCAGGCTGCTTAGGTCATTGCTTTGGCTAACCAGGAATTTGCACTTCTCAAGCAGGTTGTTGGTGACCGGGGTGCCAGAGTGCAGGGCCTCGAATTTCTGGCACAGCCTGTTTAGCTCTGTGCAGATGTCCAGGAACATGAGCAGAATGCGCCGGTCCGTGGAGTTGTTGCAGTAATGTTCCATGTAGCTCTGCACCTGCAGGGGCCAGGTGGGGCGAGCTCAGGAGGTACCACCGGCCCCCAGCTGGTTTGGGGACCAAACATCCAGGAGCGTCCCCCCCCCCCCCAGTTCCTCGTACCCTCCCAGAGTCACAGGGGAGATGCAGGCACGTTGAAGCATGTGGACTCACAGGTCACTACGTAGAGTTAATGTCACTGCGTGTCCCAGGCACCCCGAGAGCGCTGGGCAGGCTGGGTCTGCCAACACCCCCACCTGAAGCCTACACGCCTGGTGCCGGCGGGAATATCTGGCCCATTTCACGAACGCTTCCCCTCCCCTCCCGGTCCCCTCCGGGGGCCTCCCCTCCCTCCTCCAAGCTGCCTTTCAGTTGCTCAGGGACGTCTTCCCAAATGATCCGAATGGCTCCTTCCAAGAACAACGGCTTTGTGAGGGGGGAGAGGCCCTGACAGCCGCCGGGGGACCCGAGGAGGACGGGGAGGAGCCTGCCAGCCGGTGTAACTACAACAGAGCAGAGTCTCTGCGCTACCAGGTGTGTGTGGGCAGGTCACCTTTGGATGACCCAGGTCCGGGGGTGGGGGTGGGGGTGGGGTGGGTGCCAGGTAAGGGCCGAGAATCGACACTTCACATGCAGTGTCAGTGTCGGAGCCTGGGGCCACCGTTTGTCAAGGCCCTTCGTTGAACCTAGGGTGAGAAGGCCACGCCCCTGTGCGTCTGAGGGGCGGGGTCACTCTGGCTCCCGTAGATTCTGAGCCGTGGCTGCTGGGAGGGCTCTCACATGCTCCATCCTGACGCTGAAAACCCGGCCATGCCCCTCCCTGGAAGTCTGAGCCTGATTTACTCCTACACAGTTCAGGGGAAAGAGGGTATTTTCTGTAGGTTTAAAATTTCTCACGTTAAAGATCTGGGAGGAATATTCACGCACAGCGGAAGGGAGGGTTTTTGTTGAAAGATGTTGCCAGCAGGGGTTGCTATCTCTGGGGCCTGTGTGCTTCTCCTAAGCGGTTCTGAGCCCTGGTCCCCACGCCCCGCCAGCGCTGTGAGCAGCTGGCCTTCCAGAAGCCTACTCCCCGGCGGCCGGCGACGGGAGGGGGTCCCACTTAGGGGTGTGCTTCTTCCTGGAGGGCGAGCTCCGTCTCCAGGCCTCCAGGTCCCGCAAACTGGGATGGCAGCTAACTCACAGGGAGACCCGGGTCAGGTGACAATGTCTGCAAACGGGAGGTGCGAGGTGCTTGGCGGGTCGGTTTCTCAAACCCCAGTGGGATCCCACTGCTGGGACCACGGGCGTCAGACACTGGCTGAGCGGCTCCCCCACGAGCTCCTTAAATCCGCACAGTCCGTCTTTTCCAGACGAGGCAGCTGGGGCACAGAGAGGTGACTCACTGGCCCAAGGTCACAGAGGGGGCGTGTGGCTGAGCCGGGACCCGAACACTGGCTGTTCGGCAGAGTCTCCAGCCCGCTTTGGTATTTACTCACTTATGTGGTGAGGGAACGAAGGGCCCGTTCCCACCTCGTCAGGATCTGAGTCCTGATCCCGGCACAGACACGCCTGCCCTCTCCGGGCCTCAGCCGTTTCACCCTCCATGCAAGGTGTCGCCCAGGAGTCGCTGGGCCCGGCAGGTCCCCAAGAGCCCGGCCCCACCGCCCGCCAGCCCACGAGGTGCCACCTGTGCGATGCTGGAGATGGGCCGGATCTTGTCGTGGGCGTTCTCCCTGCAGTGCTCCAGAGCAGCGATGAACGTGAACTGTTGCTGCTGGAACAGCTTGTACTTCTGCTCGATGCCTCGCAGGGACTCCTTCGCCTCATTCATGGCCTTCCTCAGCGGTCATTTACAGGAGGACGAGAATCTGCCGGGGCGGGGGGGGGGGGGAGTGCGGAGAACACAGCAATGAGGCCCCAGACTGCCGACCCCGCTCTGGAGTGTCAGACCAGCATGGCCACGGCCCCTCTCGGCGTCCCCCCTCCCTCCTGCACTCACTCCAGATCCCCCAGGCGATCCAGGACCCAAGTCCCTTTTCCCTCCAAGGACACGTTCTTTGCCACGAACCATGACTTCCTTCCCTCAAGTGTGGCCAAGATTTCTCTGGGCCTCAGTTTCTCCACACTGTGGACGCCCACGCACACCCACACCCACACCCACGGCACCAGACGTGCTTCGCGTGAACGGGTCGGAGGCGGCCAAGCCAAGGCCAGGGGTGCTGGTGGGCGCAAGGGGCCAGGACACCTGGCAAGGGCAGGGGTGGGGAAGAACACGCTCCAGGATTCCTAGGAGGCCCCACCCAGGAGGAGAGGAGGAGGCCCGAGGGAGACAGGAGGCATTTCCCTCCACTGTGTCGGCCTCGGCATCCTGAGCCCAGAGCAGGGCTGGAGCAGGGAGGGCATCTCTGTGGCAAAAAGAGGGACGAAAGGAAACGCAAGGGCAGATCAGAAGTTGGCCTCCAGGACGCGATGGGAGCGGCAACTCTGAGAACTTGGGGAGGGCTGGGAGCTGACCTGTGCGGGTTAGGCCCAGACGATGGCACCCCATGGACCTCAGCAGGCCTACTGTAAATACGACACAGTGCATTCAGCCGCAGTGCCCAGGCCACCCCTGGGAGCCACAGTGCCTGTGTTTGCTCGCACTAGCTGCGGCTCCAGGGGGGTGGGCCTGGTCCCGGGCCGGGCAGGACACTGGTTTCCTGCCCACTCAGCCCCCTGCCGGAAGTGGGCAAGTGGGAAGGGGCGCCGGGGTTGAGGGGGTGCGGTGGGGGCCTGGGCCAGGGTGAGGCACCAGAAAACCCAGCACTCGAGCGAGGGAAAAACATTTAACGTGCTATTTAAAGAAATAAAAGTCAACACCAAAGAGGAGGCCGCAAAGCGTCAGGATTTTAAAGACGGGATGGGGTCTGGGGCTGTGCCATACTGGAGCCCGAGGCAGAAGGAATGGGTAAAACCGATCCCGTCTTTACATTTTTGGCGACAGAAGTGGATTTTGCATGGATTTTGATGTTTTTAAATGTGATTTGCCTTGATTATTGGAGTTTGGGGCACCCCTTCCCATGACTCGCCTTGCCTGGTCTGGGCCCAGGGCTTACAAGTGACTTGGGGGTGGAAGACCTAGAAAAGTCAGAGCACAATTTATCCACGGGATACAGGTGTGCTGTTTCGAAGGGGCACGTGCACCGCCATGTTTATGGCAGCACTCTCAACGACAGCCAAAGGATGGAAAGAGCCCAAATGTCTACTGATGGAAGAATGGAGAAAGAAGATGTGGTCTATATATACGATGGAGTATTACTCGGCCATCAAAAAGAATGAAATCTTGCCATTTGCAACTACGTGGCTGGAACTGGACGGTGTTATGCTAAGTGAAATTAGAGAGTCAGAGAAAGACAAAAATCATAGGACTTCACTCATATGAGGACTTTCAGAGACAAAACAGATGAACATAAGGGAAGGGAAACAAAAATAATATAAAAACAGGGAGGGGGACAAAACAGAAGAGACTCATAAATATGGAGAACAGACTGAGGGTGGCTGGAGGGGTTGTGGGAGGGGGGGATGGGCGAAATGGGTCAAGGGCACTAAGGATCTACTCCTGAAATCATTGTTGCACTATATGCTAACTAATCTGGATGTAAATTTAAAAAAAATAAAAAAATAAGTTAATAAAAAAAATCCTTCTAAAAAAGAAAGGTCCCCCCCCCCCCCCCCCGCGGGGTTGCGGGGGGGGGGGGGGGGGGGGGGGGGGGTTGTGCTTTCAGTCTGGCCTTCCCCATAAGGCTCAGAGCTGTGCTTGGTGGTTAAGAACCCAAGCTCTATTCATAGTCCTGGTTCAGATCTTGGTTCCACTACTTCCGGCCAGCCTTGGGGTGAGCCTCTGAGTGCTAATGCGCTAGAGGGAAGTAACGGCCCGCAGCCTCCGGGCCTTGGGGCGAGCACCGTGCGAGGTGCAGGCGGAACGTGTGGAGCCCGGAGCCTGGAACGCGCAGCGCCTGGTTGTCAGAGCAACCGAAGCTGCTGTGATTAACAGTGTGCACACAATGGCAGGAGCAGGCCACAACAGGCACGGTGCACACTCTGAGAGCAGCAGGGTCTGCTGAGGGCTTGAGCTCCGGGAGAGGAGAGGAGGGGGGAGGGGGGAGGGGCATTAGGAGGGGGTGACCTGGGACTATTGTGAGCAAGTGCAGGAGGCAGTGGGCAGGGCAGGCCGGGGGAACCCCCAAGCGTCAGGCAGAGCTAGGAGAACCCCTGAAGGCCAGAGGGGTCAGAAGGACTTCAGGCTTCCATTCGTTTGTTCACTCACCCCTTCTGCAGGGCCTATCATATGCCGGCCCCGATTCTGAGTGCTGGGTTATATACACGGCAGGGAACTAAATAGACAAGCCCCTCTTCCCTGGAATTTATCTTTCAGAGTGGGAGGCGGACAACAAGGATGAGCCACCGAACAGTGTTGTGGATAAGAGCGCTGCCAAAGGGAAAAGGAAGCAGGGCAGTGGGATGGGCACGTTGGGACGAAGGGCTAAGTGTGGTCTGCAGGAGGGTCCTTTCTGGAGATGGGTGGGTGGCGGGGGGCAGACGAGAGCCATGCTCCAGCCTGCAGTGAGGTCCTGAACACCCACCCCAACCCTCCCCATGGCAGTGACTATCGACGGGGCTCTAGGAGAACCCTGGCCATGCATGGAATCCTCACCACAGCTCTCCCAATGGTACCTGATGATCCCCACGTGACAGACGATGAAGCTAAGGTCACCCCGCTAGAAGTGAGCAAGCCCGGATTCCCCACTCAGCTCTGCCTCACTTTATAAAGTCTGGGCTCTTGGATCCCTCCCTCTGTGACGGTCCATAGAGACAGACATGCCAGACATCAGACTGACCCAAGGCCGGGAGTGGGTGGCTGGGGTGGAGGGGATACCAAATGCCCAAAAAGCTGCCCAAGCCTTCCTAGGGTCACACACCAGCTGGACCCCTGGGCCTCGTTTCCACTTGCAGAGAATGTTCTCTGCTCTCCCCTCCCCTAGTGTTCAGGGGCCTGCCCTGCGTCGTCTGGCTCCCTGCCACCCTCCCGGGGCTTCCCGGGGCTGTCAACTTCTCCAAGGATACAGCACGACCTTGGCTGGTGGCCCCAAGAGCCCCTGAGAGCAAAACTGACTTGGTTCTTGATCCTAGCGACTTGTGACATGCACGCCAGGAAACGTCGTGAGAAGAGCTGTAATAAGCTATCCAAAGTGATCGTCCCTTGAACGAGTTACTGCAGCCAAATTAGTCTGGATGAAAGGCACCGGGTGCAGGCACTTCTCGATCTGGGGGAGGAGGAAGGAAAAAATGATTACCCAATAGGTTTTAGGCTTTAATTGATTTGTATTTTTCCAGGCTGCTAAAGAAGATTAAATCGTGGTATGAAAAGCGCCTAGGGCTTAAAATAAATGAGGAGAAAGGCAAGTCATTTCAGAAATGTCCAGGAAGCAAACTGAACCTCTCCAGTGCAAATTGCAGGTTTGGTTGTTGTGTTCTTTGTTCGGCCGGGGCGGGGGGGGGGGGGGGCTTCCTTTTCTTCCCCAGCTGTCTATGCAGTTGGCTTTGACAAGCCAACCAAGGTGTGCGCGCTTTGAGGAAGCGGTCCTGAGGGGAAGAGGCGGATTTGCAGCCTTTTACAGTCGGAGGGCATGTCTCTGGGCACTTGGTGGCTGCTGGGAAAGGCTTTTGGCTAGGAGTCAAGACGCCAGCCCTGGCTCTGCCTCTGATTAATGAGTGAACTTGGCCAAGAGTTTCCCCCTTTCTGGACCTCACTTTATCTATAAAACAAGGGCGATTGGATTAGAATATCTTCAAGGGGACTTCTGATTCTAACGCTTTATGGTCTACAACTGATGAGAAAAGAGACCCAAAAATGGGAAATGACTGGCCCCAGGTCTTACGGGCAACTATTTGTTCACCATTCTGATCCTCCAATTTCTGACCTGTAAGATGGGAATGAAGGTACTTATTCCTGGGGGCTGGTGCAAATATTAAATGAAGTTACTACTAAATAGTAGCCCCGATGCGCTGTGCCCTTAATACACGCCAGGAGCCCGTACTTCAGGCATATGCGCTCACGGAATCCTTCCATAATCCCCACTTCACAGGGGAGGAAAGTGGCGCCCAGAGCAGGCTCACACGGGTGGAGCCAGGAGTCGAACCCGGGGCATTCTGTATCACAGAAGCCAGACGCCCCGTCCATCATGTACCTACCCCATATAGTTTTGTTAAGAACACAGCTCAAAACCGGCAGCTCCTTCTAAAAATGGCAACAGACAAAAGCTGGAGCTCCCAGCTCAGCGCCGCGTCCCATACCAGGCTGCCCCAGTCCCGCTGGGGATTGACGCGATTCGAAGCGCTCCTTCCTCCACCACGTCCCACCCACCAGGGGCGGCATCGGGGTTCCTTCCGCTCCCTCCCCTCCTCCCCCCAGGGCTCGGCGGGGGGCGGGGGGGGGGTGCGCTTTAACCTTACTGGTCCTAGGCCGACCTTCACTCACAGAGCTCCCCGAAACCCGAGTGCCTCCGAGGGTGTCTGGGGCCAGGGAGGGGCTCTTCCCAGGGCCGGGAAGGTTGGTGGGTGGGGCGGGGCCGCGGGCCCGATTGTTCCCGCGGGTGCCATAGCAACCGGGTCACGTGGCATCGCTGCCTCGCCCCGCGAGCCCCCGCCTTCCCGTCCGCCCCAGGGACTCCCCTACCTTTTCCACAGCCTTCCCCAACCTCTACTCGCTTTAAAGGTGGGAAAACTGAGGCCCAGAGAGCAGAGCCGGGCTGGCCCGCGGAGCGCCCGACGCCCAGGTCGGGGCGCGACGGCGGGACCAGCGCACGACCCGCCTCCCGCCCCCACGGAGGGCCGATGTGCCCCCTTGGGCGTCTAGGCACCTGGGGCCCTCCTGGGGGCACCTCTGGTCCTGGAAGGCTGGAGGGCCACCTCCTGAGACGCACAGACCGCAGTGCGAGCCCGCCACGGGGAAGCACCCGCCCCCAGGGAAGCACCTGCCCCCCGCAGCTGAGCGCGCGGGCCATGGAGCCGGGAACGAGGCCCGGTTCCAGCCCCGCGGGCGCGCGCTGATGACGCGACGGCGCGGCGGCCCTAGCGACGGCGGTCTCCAGGGAGCGGGCGCGCGCTGATGACGCGACGCCGCGGCGGCCCTAGCGACGGCGGTCTCCAGGGAGCGGGCGCGCCGCACGGAGGCATGGACGCGACCACCGCCCCTCACCGCATACCCCCGGAAATGCCCCAATACGGGGAGGCGAACCACGTATTCGAGCTGATGCAGGTGACCCGGGCAGCCCCGCCCTGTCGCGACACCGGGCGCCAGCGGGAGCCTCTGTCGCGGTAGCAGTGCGCGGCTGCGACCCCGCTGCTGGGGGGGATGGGTGGGTGTCTGACTCCTGTACCGCTGGGACCCTGAGAGAGGCCTCGGTCGGAGGACGCCCCCTGCCCCTGTCCTGCGGACCCAGGAGGGAAGAAAGGGGGCAGCCCACCCGGTCAGGTTTTGGTCATGGCTCCGCGCCAGCTCGCCCAATGGCCTGGACCAAGTCCCATTCTTTCCTTTTCTCGAAGCTATGAAATGCTGGGTTGCAAGAGCTGATCTTCAAGGGGGCCCCTCGGCGCTAACAGTCCCCAGCCCGTCTGCCGTGTTGGTTTCTAAGCTGGGGAGTGTCCGAGTTTCAAGGTGACCTCACCATCCCCTGAGATGGCCACCTCCTGGGACAGCAGCCCTGTGCCCTATGGTTCGGACAGGAGCATTTCCCACATGTCCCTTCTTCATTCGAGTCAGGAGTTCCCAGCAGCTCCCAGCCTCTCATCCTGGATTTCTGACCCGACTGGGCCCTCATCCCCTGTATGACCTTTGGCAAAGCCCTGCCCCTTCTGGTTGCCTTCTGCATCTCCTGGAGGCAAAGGCTTTCAGGAGCTGGACTGGGAGAACTCTCTGCCACTTAGAGGTTCTGAGGGCCACAGGGAAGCTGGAGCCCAGTTTCTAGAGCATTTGCCCCTCCAGGTATACCCTGTCCCCAGAGGCACCACTGTGGTGACGCTTGTGCTCATTGGAGCCTCTGACCCGTGCACATGAGAGCAGAGATCAGACTACCCACCCCGAGTCTCCATCTCTCCAGCAAACATATGCTTCCTTTGGAAAGGGTCAACTGAAAGAGGCAGAGAGATTTTTTTCTGCAACTGAGTGGCCAAGCCAAGAAAAGAAAATGGCTCGCTGAGTTACAAGTCACTGGCTGGTGGGCAGAGTGGGGCCAGCTCCTGGGGGTATCGCGGTCTGCTCTAGAGAACCTGGTGTAGCTCAGCTTGATTGTTGGAAAGAGCAGCCTGAAAACGCTCCTAATCAGTATTTCCAGTCCTTAGTCATTTCTGCATTCCCTCCACGGTTTTCACTACTTTTTAAAACAGTGTTAGACCCTCAGGATGTTACAAAGATAGTACAGAGTTCTGATGTACCCTTCCCCAACTCCCGCTCCTCCCCCCCCCCCCCCCCCCCGCCCCGTAATGCTATCTAACATAACTCTGGGACATTGACGTTGGTCCAAGACAATTAACTCGGCCACGGCGATACTTACTTGGGGTTCGTCCATTTTTACCTGCACTTCTTTCTTTTTGGTGTATTATTCCATGAAATTTTATCACCATGTTTCTTCGCTTTAACCTAATCATTTTTAAATGTTTGTTTATTTTTGAGAGAGACAGAGACAGAGACTGTGAGCATGAGCAGGGGAGGGGCAGAGAGCGAGGGAGACAGGATATCCCGAGCAGGCTCTGCCCTGTCAGCACAGAGCCCCACGTGGGGCTCAAACTCACAAACCACAATATGATGACCTGAGCTGAAGTCTCATGCTTAACTGACCAGGCCACCCAGGCGCCCCTAACTTGATCACTTCTTTAAATCAACCCACTTTAAAAAATTAAGTAATATTACCTCTTCTTGAGCTATAGCCTTGAAACCGTAGGTTTTCTAGCACACGTTAGATACATAGCTATTTAAAGTGAAATTAAAAACACTCATCTGTGACACGGCCAACATCATCTCCCACCATCTCAGCGGTGAGAGTCAGCTAGTCCCGTTGGGACTCCACCAGCCGGGGAAGCTGAGGCTCAGAGAAGGAAGGCACTTGCTGGCGGGGTGCAGAGCAGAGCTGGGGCTTCTCAGAGCTGCGTGCTCTCGTCCGCGGCACACATCCTCTGCTCCTGAAAGGCAAAAGCCCCTCCCTGGTTGTCCCTGATGGAGGCTCTTTAACGGTGCCGGCCCAGCTCCTATCTGCTACCTAGTTCACTTCTGTGCCTCTTGTTCTGGAACCGTGGAAGCTGGCTTTCCTTGGGATTAAATGGCCAGACTATCCCAGGATAGTAAATATTCTGCCCCGCTCTGGAGGAACACAGGGAGCAGTGATGACCATGTCAGCCGGCAGACCTTGGCACTGGGCACCTACTGTGTGCCCAGCGCTGAGACAAGGGTGCGGCGATAACGGATGTAGGGGACTGCAGGAGCATAGGACAGGGTTGATCTAGTGGGTGTGATCAGGAGGGTGTGTTTCCATTGAGACCTGAGGACGTGGGGAACAGTGTTCCAAGAGGGGGGAACAGCATCTGCTAAGGCTCGGGGCAAATGAACATGGTGAAGGAGGTAAACTGAGAGAAGGCTGGTCCGGGGAGCACGGAGGGACTGAGGTGAGAGGACCCTGGCTGGGCCTGTCTGCTCTGAGTCTGGGATGTGGTCCCTGCACGTGCCTCTGTGATACCTGCACGACCCTTCCCTCATTCCTCTGCTCGTGGGGATCGAAGCAGATCCAGCTGTAGCAGGGGCTGGGTTCCAAGTTGCAGGCCTGTTTGGTGGGTGCAGTGGAGAGATCGGGCCCCACAGCCGGTATCGGTAGCGACCAGGGCACTGGGCGCCTGGTGCCCATGCAGGTGTTAACTACCTGGGTGTCTTACCCTGTGCCCACAGAACATGCTGGAGCAACTCCTGATCCACCAGCCCAAGGACCCCATCCTGTTCATGATCAGTCACTTGCAACGAGACAACAATAATGGTGAGCACTTGACCAGCCTCCTCTCCCGTTACCTCCCCTCCCCCACTCCCGCTCCTGCCCAACCGCTATGAACCACTCTGCCCTCCCTGTGTCTGAAGGGAGGGGTTTTGGCAACTTGGGATGGTGACTCATTGAAAAATGACTTAATCCCTTTGGGGGGCACGGCTAAAAAGTTCTCTTGCCAAGTTTCTAAAACGAAAACCTCCGAAAGGCCCATGGAATCAATTATTAATGCTTTCGTGTGCCCCATCTGATCTCGCCTGTTGGCTTTAAACTCTGTGATCGCTCCACACGTCAGGTGTAAATCTGGTTTCCGGTCCACCTAGACATGCAGCACTCGGGTTTTCCTGATAGTCTCATCGCTGGTGCCCGTTAGTGCGTCCCAGAGTTCCCCAACTCTTGGCCCAAGTGCAGGTCGGCTACACCCAAAGCCAGGGCCCAGAACCAGAGAGAAGAGAGAGGCACTCCATTCCACAGTCGATTTGCCAAGTGGAGGATCATTCCCATCCTGTGTGAGCTGTCAGGGAGAACTAGTGTCTGCGAGCTTTGATGTTTCTTTTCACTGGAGCACTGGCCGCTTTGAAGGAGATACCGGCTCGCCAGTGAAATTAGTGCTTGGCGCAGCTGAGAAGGGCAGAGCCCTGAGATGCCCTGTGGTGGGGCTCACAGGCCTGAGATGAGAAAGGATGCATCAAGACACAATGACAGAAGAAGGTGAGAGAAAGGACACTCCAGGCCTACAGGTGCACCACGCACGCCTGGCCTTTCCGGCGTGCCCCCCCGCCCGCCGATCCTGACGCGGTTCCAGGCTTGGCCGCAGAGCATCGGAGCGAGGGGCTGCTTGGGTCCCAGTGCCATTTTGCCAACCTAAGCAGAGTGGCTCACGGAGAGCACAGCGGTGCCCCTGTGTGATTCTCTGGGTAGGCAGAATTGAGAGTTGACGTTGGCTGTGAGCCCACATGCCCCAGGTGCAGACGGAGCCGTGGGCACCCGTGGACCGGGAGCACCACCCTCTTGAGCTGCCCGCCCGGCCACCCGTGTGTTCCTGGTGGGGCTCGCTCTGCCCCACAGAGACCCTTCTAAGAGGCCTCTGTTCTCCGGTTGGCTGTTTATCACATGGCACCGGGGTGCGGGTGGCGGTTGGGCCACCTTCCTTCCCGGGGGTCCGGCCGCAGACCGAAGCTCACCAGCCGGGCCTCCCGCGCCGGAGACGGATGTGTCTGCCTTCCCACCTCCTCCCCCGACCCCGAGTCTGGACGGGGGCTCGGTGTTGTCTGTGGGCCGCGGGGAGCAGCCTGCCCGCCGTGTTCGGATCTCTTGTATCAGCACCAACACATCGCAGAGCAAAGCAAAGTTAAAGCAGAAGCGAAAGTGAAGAGAAAGCAAAGCAGCAGTTAAAAGGCCTTGACCCTCGCACCGCGCCCCGCCCCCCCCCCGCCCATGACAGGGCGGGGGAGTTCCCACTCATGACCCTTCGCCAGATCCCTCTGAGTTAAAAACTGTGCCTGGTAATAACACAACCATCTCAACTCTCAGGAGCCGGGCCGCGGCACCGCTCTGTCCTGCTGGTTTGAAAGATTCACTTTGGGCCACGTGTGCCGTGTCCCGTGTCCTCACGCCGCCAGCCTGAAGCCGGAAATTCAAGAGCCGAAATTCAAGGCAGATTCCCATTACATTTAATCCTGCCCCTCTGTGCGCACGTGTAATCTTCAGCGTCGAACTGCCACTTCCCCACCATCTTTCTGCTTTAGACTCGGTGCGGCCGATGCCGTTGGGGGCTGGCCCTACAGCCTCCTCCGCCTGCCACGGAGCCTCCATTCCTTCTCCATGCTGCACCTGCCCTGTTCGCTCCCAGGCGGGGGCGAAGGACCCAGACCTGCATCGTCTGGCTCTAGCAGGGGGCCGGCCTCCTGCCCTCCTCCATAGCTAGAGCCAAGGTGTTGGCCCGATGCTCTCTCCGGGAGTAGAGGCATCCGATCCCAGTCACCACTGTTTTGGGGGGTGGATTTGTCCCCACAGGCCTCCGCCGCCTCTGCCAGGCCCGGGGCTGGCAGCTCTCAGGGATGTTGGAATCTCTTTGTCCTTTTTGCTCAAGGCCCAACCGCTTAGGTGAAGACCAGAGAGGGACATCTGCAGGTTTCCTCGCCGTGCCCAGGCGTCCGCCCACAAGTGAGGCAGGACATAGGGGAAGGAGGGGAGGCTGGGCAGAAGGGCATGCTTTTGTGAGTGTTGTCTCGTGTGTTCTGGAAGAGGACAATGGACAAGGGGAGGCCCTCTGAAGTCCAGTGAGCGGTTCTGCCTCCCTGGGCTAGTGAGGGAGGCTGTCTCGCGTCCTTCCAGCCACGCAGCGGCCCATGTTTCCTGGAAGCTGGGCGCTCGGCGCTTCTGCTTCCTGGGCGTGGGGTGGGGCGGGCAGGGGCTCGTGGCCGGTGGCTAGTGTAGACCGAAAGAAGGCTCCGGACTCACCCCGGCGAGCATGCACATGAGGGAATGAGGGGAGCCCCCGGCACGTGGCTGGCATCCCCTTCGCCTCGAGAAAAGCAGATTTAGTACAAAGTGAGCATTTACAGTAGCCCTGGGCAATATTAAAGCAGGTGATGGTGTATATAATGGTATGTTGCGTTTTTTATCAAACGTTTGTCCAAGAAAGCTGTGTATTAGAGCTCCAATACCTAAGGGTTTTCTTGTGAATTTTAAATCATGCTCCTAGTTAAACCTCAAAAGGATCTGTGGATGGAAAGGTTTTTTGATTTCCTTTGAAGTGGTTTGAAGAAGTTGATTACTCTTGGCAGTCAAGCAGCCTTTTATGACACTGTTTATAAATAATTACTCATGAGCAGAGCTGGGGTTCCAAGGTGTTAGATTTTAAGAAACTGAAATTAATCACGTAAATGTGTGCGAGAAATTAGATGGGGAGAAAGGCCGTGGATGTTCCCCTTTTAAAGCATTTTCAGAGATGTGTGCAATTTGGGTGCCACTTACGGGAGCCTGGAAGGGGAGGGCATCCCCAGCAGCCTCCGAGCCCCATAACTTTGTCAAGATGAATGCGTGACTTGGGAGTCAGCTCGGTCCCCAGAACGCTCTTGTTGAGGTGAGGCTCCTTCTCCCGGGGCTCCACAGGCCCCGAGTCCCATTGGGTCTGGCCTGAGTTTGAGGAGCTTGAGCAGAGGCCTGTGGCTAGCATCGAGAGAGGGGGCTGGGCGGAGGTCACAGGAGCCTGACCGGGCCCTCTGGTGCGCCCTTACTGTGGCTTTGGCCGGCAGAACACTGGAAGCTGTGTCCGCCGTACTGGGGAGGGCCGGAGGCGTCCCAGCTGAGCCTGCCTCGGAGACGAAAGTGTGTGCAGGGCTTTGCTGAACTAGAGCGTGGCAGCATTGGGCCAGTAGGCCGGGGCCTTCCTGCCCCCACATCTCTGATTCCCATCACCACAGGAGGAACGATGTGGGGTTCCTGAGAAGCAAGTTCGCACATCACTGGGGCCAATGGACCAGGTTTGTAAACGTTTCCAGACGTAGAAAATGACAGTGCTCTAAAGCCACTGGGGACACACACCCGTCAAAGCAGCAGCAGAAAGCCAGGACGTGGGTACAGCCTGTCGTGTTGTCGAGGAGAGAGCAGAGGATGGCCGCTCCCTCTGGCTCCCGTCTCACGCAGCCACTCGTGCCCCGCTTGCTGTGTTCGGCAGCCCCGGTCCCAGTGCCGAGCGAGGACGAGATGCTCCACGAGTGAATCGGTGAGCGGATCAGCTTCAACCGTCCTTCCGTGTTTTTGGCAAATGAGAAGGTGCCGTGAATTTGGACAGAGTTCTGTACTTACACCCAGGCGGCCATGTGCCTATCATGAGCTCATGGGCCAAATGGATCCTAGTTCCTTCTCTGTGTCCGCTGCCACACTAAAAGGGTACGCGTGTCCATTGTCCTCAGCATGGACGAGGTGCCCTCCTGGGGCCCTGGCAGCAGTGGTCTCTGCGTGTAGACATCAGAGGCTCAGATGCGTTGGGAGACACGCCTGTTCATTGTCCCCTTGGCTCAGGGGTCAGGCCAGCAGCGGTGAGGGGATAGGCCTGCCTTCCCAACCTCTGCTCTGTGCTCCTGGCCCCCCATGTTTAGCGGCCGGGGGTGGCTTAGTCAAGGTGGCACTTGGAGGAATCAGCATGGATTCATCTGTCCAGACACCACGTCCTGAAGCCTCTTTTGACCCAAGAACACATGCCTTCCAGTGCTTTTCCTGAGATGCTGGTCTGGTCTTTTCCAGTGGGCCAGCACCTAGTCGGTCCTCCCGACCCCCGACCCCCGACCCCCGTCTTGAGGAATTCTGTGGGGCCGACAACCTGCCAGAGCCGGAAGCCTCAGACCCCGCAGCAAGCCATTTGCATGGAAATGCCCACATTGGAAAGCAAAGGCTCTCCTATCTGGGGTTTTATAAATCTGGCCGATCCACCCCAGGCTTTTCCCCCCGTTATTTCCCTCTGTAAAATGATGGGGAATACAATTTGCTAAATAAAAAGGCATAAATATATATAAAACAAAGCTTGGAAGGTCGATTTACATAAAATACAGCTTTATTTGAGAGCGTGTCCCCAAGACAAAGTCCCTGTTTAAAATGCTTTATGGTGTTCGAAATCCCAATTGTTCTCGATATTTATTAGTTTAGCAAACAAGTTACCGTGTCCATGTCCCCTCGGAGACAGAAAAATAAACCATCTCAGTGATCACTTACCTCTCTAAACATACAGAGTATGTTCTATGGCGAGACCATCCCTGAGCCACTGGGTTACAAACGACCGTGTCACTCGCAGAAAATGAAATCTGGGGAGGAAGGAAATGAATACCCCCGCAGTACCGCGGGCACGGAGCTTGCTTCATCATTTCGAGCGGTGACATTCAAATCTTTCTATTCCACAGTGCCGAAGATTGTAATATTAGGTCCACCCGCCTCGGGGAAAACAACTATAGTAAGTGCATCATATTAAGTGTTGTAACGCCGTAATATCTCATCTCCCTGCAGAGCGGGAGCCGGGCCGCCCCTCCACGGGTTCTCAGCACAACGGAGCATTTCTTCATCCTTCCCTTCCGCTTCTTTAACTTATTTTCTTATTAGGAGAGGCGGCAAGCAGGCCTCGTAGAAAGCCTAGAAAGCACAGAACACAAAAGTATAACTCTGCAACCATCCAGGGGTGAGCATTATTTCAGCAGTTGGGCTCTACGTTCCAGGGTTTTCTCGGGCCGCGGGGGCACCGTCTTTGCACACACTTGGTTACATCCTTAGGATAAATTTCCAGAAGCAGACCAGCGTCTAGAGACTTTTGACACGGAATCTTTAGATTCACTCTCAAAGTGTTGTTGTTGTTTTCATGTTTATTTTTGAGAGAGAGAGAGACAGAGCACGAGCGGGGGAGGGGCAGAGAGAGGGAGACACAGAATCTGAAGCAGGCTCCAGGCTCCGAGCTGTCAGCACAGAGCCCGACACGGGGTCTCGAACCCACGAACAGTGAGATCATGAGCTGAGCCGAATTCGGGCGATTCACCAACCTGGCCACTCAGGCGCCCCTCACTCTTAAAGTTTTAACTATGAGACTGTTTAATCAGAAAAGCATAGAAACTGCACCATAGATACTCAGCTCCCAGATTTTCCAGAATTTATCATCTTGCTGTGTTTGCTTTGATGATTCCCTTTCCACTTTAGATATGGCTTTAAAGATACAGCAGATGCCTCATCGTACCCACTTCTTTGTCTTAAGTTGGAGGCTTAAGTCCTGAAGCTGGTGTGCTTCGTCCTGCCTACAGTTTTAACCTTAAACTCCTTTTTTTGAGTGTCAAAACTTTGTAACGTCTTAATCATCTGAGACAGAACTCTGCTTTTTACTGACTTTTTATTTTATTTAAAAAAAATTTTTTTTTTCCAACGTTTTTATTTATTTATGGGACAGACAGAGACAGAGCATGAACGGGGGAGGGGCAGAGAGAGAGGGAGACACAGAATCGGAAACAGGCTCCAGGCTCTGAGCCATCTGCCCAGAGCCTGACGCGGGGCTCGAACTCACGGACCGCGAGATCGTGACCTGGCTGAAGTCGGACGCTCAACCGACTGCGCCACCCAGGCGCCCCCTGACTTTTTATTTTAGAGCGAGCGAGCATGAGCAGGGGAGAGGGGCAGACAGAGAGAGAGAGAAAATCTTCAGCAGACTTTATGCTCAGTGCAGAGTGGAGGTGGAGTTTGTTGCGGCACTCCATCCCGCGACCCTGGGATCATGGCCTGAGCTGAAATCAAGAGCCAGATGCTTAACTGACCAAGCCTCCCGGTGCCCCTGGAACTCTGTCTTTTAAAAGCCTGGCTAGCGGACTTCAGTCAACTCTTCCTTGATGACTGTGCCACTACTGTGAGCACTCGTCCCGGGCCTGGGTGACATGGCGGGCTGTGTCCCCTGACGAGCTGGCACTTGGCTGTGTTCAGAAAAGGGATTAAGACGGCCGATCCTTGCCGGAGCTGGCCTGCATCTGCTGTGCTCAGGAGTCGTCTGTATCCTAGCGCTCTGTCTGTCTCTCTGTCTACCCCTCTGCCCATCCCTCCCTCCCTCTGTCCTTCTGCTTGTCTGTCTGTAGTTTTCCTACTGTGTTCCTGAGGATCAGGCTGCCAGCCTTCACTCCTTTCTACGGTCCCCCCAACCTAACACGCTGTTTCCTGCTAGAAACCCAGGGCCCCCAGGCCTGGCAGCCACAAGCGTTACCAGGGTGCTTTGGAAGGTGGCGGGTGCCAGACTCCCCTCCGGACCTGCCTGATCAGAATCTCCTGGGAAAAGGCCCAGGAAGCCGGTTGAAACCGCTTCTGAGGTGGTAGCCTCTGCCCTGAGACAGACAGGCTCCCGAGCCACGTTAAGGCGGAGTCGGTTCACTCAGGGTGAGGGGTCTCCTTTGGCAAAAGGCCTTTGTCTTTGAGACGTTGGCACTCTGGGCACCTCCCCCCCCGGCCCCCCCCCCCCCACGCTTAACCCCAGTTCCAGCTCTTCCCTGATCTCTGGCGAATTTGCTGGGTAGAATTCGTGAAGCATGGTGAGCACAGACAACTTCTTTCGTCCAGTCCCACCTTGGCTGAGGCCATCGGCTCTGCCCCCTGGTGAGGTCAGGGCCCACCGCGCCTCACTGCTGTTTCAGCTTTTGGTGAATGCGCTACCCCACGTCTGACCACTATGTGGGGACACGCAGAATCTAATTTTACAGTAAGATGATATACAGTATAATCCAGACAGAGCCCTGCAGGGCTATCATCACTGACATCTCCCAGCAGGAGGAACAGAGAGAATTAAGGTTGATACTTGCCCCGGGGGACTTCAGGGCCTTCTGAATCATCCCCATGCTGAAATGGCCATCAGTATAATCTTGCCATTAAGAGCATTTCATTACATTATTATTCCCTAAAATGTATTCCTCCCTGTAGAGTATACGTAGTCATCAATGAACTAAACATTCATTTGGTCAGATCATTTCCTGATCTAAGAAAAAATGAACGGGTATGTTTGTGCCCCATGTTTAGGTCCTGTCCCTGCATTTCCTGTTGGAACCTTTTTGTGGCCCTGAGGAGCTGGGAAGGCGCGTCAAGGCAGCTACAAGCAGGGCCCCTCCGTGGGCTTTCTAGCTCCGTGTTATCACTGGCTGCTGGAAAAAGAGAGAACACTCGGGCGGCCTCCTCAGGCTGGGGAGGGGGGGGTGCTCTGTGGGCTTGTCCCCCTGGGTGGCCTCCTTCCAGCCAGAAAGCAGTTATGCTTCCCTGTGGCCAGTCTTTTCTAGTAGAATACGGAAGGGCCTGGGCATTTTAACGGAGTCCTCTTAATTACAGCGTTCACTGAAATCTTCTTTGGCTCTTTCTTCAGGCAATGTGGCTGTGCAAACATCTCAACAGCAATCTTCTCACCGTGGAGAACCTGATAGGAAGAGAATTTTCCTCTCTGGCTGCGGGTGCCAGGAGGCATTACCAGAACGTGACGGTAGGGCTGGTCCCAGGGCGGCAGGAAGGGGAGACGGGGTGACAGGGCTCCCACGGCCCCCCTTGCCCCCCACCCCCACCCCCAGCACGTCTCCATTTCCTCGTGGACCAAGCGAGGGGAGTGCTGGGGGTAAACTGAAACACAGGCAGCGTGGGCTGGAAGGAAGGAGAGAACTCTCAAGCAGGGTGCGTGTCCTGGCGGCTGTGGGGACGGGGGGGGGTTTGTGGCAGAAAGGGGTTGCTGACGGCGCGAGGTGACCATTCTGTGCTGATGGAGCGGCCCTGGCCCCGTGCTTCTTCCCAGGGTCACCCCATTGCGTGGGTGCCGAGAGGCAGGGGTCCGTCCACAGAGGATGGAGCCACGCCGGCCCGGCCAGGGGGTTTCGGGGCCGTCGTCCAGCCGTCCCCGCGGTGGACGGACCCGGCGCGCTGCACCTCGGGGGCGCAGGGGCCGCCCTCCCCACCCCTCCGTCCGGCTCACACACATCTGCGGCTAGCCCCCCAGGGCGCCGAGTGTCCTGATCCTAAAAATCTCACCAATCCCATGTCTGAAACTTTGGTTTCCCCAGGGGAAATATAGAGCTTGCTCATGCTGTTTTTCTTCATAAGCCCCTCTGGGATGTGAGCAGATCTCCTAGTCCATTCGGGCCACCGTGACAAAATACCACAGACTGGGTGGCCTGGAAGTACAGGGATTATTTCTCCCAGTTCTGGAGGCTGGAAGTCCGAGATCGCGGCTCCAGCAGGTTCGGTGTCTGGTGAGGGCGTCTTCTCACTGTGTCCTCAAAGTGCAGGGGCAGGGGAGCCCTCTGCGGTCTCTTCCGTGAGGGCAGGAATCCCATTCTACGACCTGATCACCTCCCAAAGTTTCCCCCGCCCCGATTCTGTCACTTTGAGGGTTAGGGTTTCAGTATATGAATTTGGGGGACACGTGTGTTGAGACCAGAGGGGCAGGGATATGCCCTCTGGGGCGTTCTTTCTGGAGACTCTGAGAATGGAAAGATTCCCTGTGTTTGTTGAGTGCTTCCCAGGCCTCCCTCCTCCCCTCCCCTCCTCCCCCCACCCCCACCACACCGGCACCAGTGAAGCAGTGACCCAGGGCAAAGGTGGGTTCAGGCCTACCCCAGAGCCCTGCCCCAGAGCAGTTGGGGTGAGAAGCCGGGGAACAGTCCAGCGGGCTGCAACCTGTCCTCGTCCCCTGCCTGGGGCAGAAAAGGAGAGGCCGTGTGGGGGACCCATCCTGGGCCCTGATGGAGGTACCACCTCCCTTCTTGGCCCCGCAGCCGGAATTGGGCACCACCCCTGGCCACTGTCCGCCTCTTTGAGGCCACTTCACCTTGTATTTCCATCCTGAGCTTTCTCTTCTGTCATTTTGGCCCCACCCTGTTCCCTGGCTCAGCCACCCACAGAAGCAGCAGCACGGCCCAGTGCTCAGGAAAAGGGGTCCGCAGGGCCCAGCCAGCTCTGGGGAGGGGTGTGCAGAGCGGGCTCGGCAAGGCCACAGGGGCACGTGACCGGGAGGGCCCCGGCAGGGCGGGGGGCAGTTGTCAGGCACGAGGGATGGGACTCGGGCAGACTCCCAACCCCAAGTTTGCCGGTTACCCCGACTTGATGGAAGGAGGATCTCCTTCGGCAAGGTCAGCCGCCACCACTGCGAGCTGACTCTGAATATGTTTAATCCGGAGCACTTCCTGCCCCCCATTGCCTGGCGGGGGCTCTCAGAGGCCTGCTCCCCGGCCCTGCAGGTTTGCAGGAATCAGTGTGTGCTTATGGGTGGGGGGACGCCAGCATTTGGGGTGCGGATGTGGTTTTGTCATTTTCAGACAGCCTCTCGGGGAAGGGGAGGCAGGCTTATTTCCAGGATAAAGATGCTTTTATCAGGTTTATAAAATTCAGCAGAGGGGAGGATTTTAAGGAAATTCCTCCTGGGTTTCATTATGCTAATTATCAGCATATTTCAGACCACGTCGGAGTGCTTTCAAGGGTGTCTTATCGGGGTTCCTTGGCTTGGAAGTGGGGGGGGGGGGTGGGGGGAAGATGAAAGGCAAGGCTGTCAGGACTGATGAAGGAGTGAGAGGTTCTGAAGAGCCAGGATGGTGCGCGTAGGGCGGCTGCGCGTGGCCTGGCTTGGCCGCAGGTGGCCGTCGCCAGGCGTGGCCTCTGGTTGAGGGTCGTCTTTAAATCGCCCTCGGACTGGGAACCCTTTACAGCCTTTTGGAAGTAGTGCAGTGCCCCGGGAGACCCAAAGATGAACTCCTTCTCCAGGCCCCTGGGAACTTTGGGGGACGTGGGGGAGATCCAGGCTAAGGGGCCTGGAAGCTTCGTGCAGTCGGGGGTTTGGCTGACTAATCCCCTTACCCTGAAGTGTTCTCTGAGCAGGGACTGAGTACCAGGCACTGACTCGTGGCTGAAGAGCGTGCAGGCTGCAGGATTTAGGGGGTCCACGGAGCCGTGGCCACGGTCGCGCTAGGAAAAGCCTTCTTAAGGGGCAAAGTGCCACGAAACCCGCACAGGCGGCCATAGCCCTGAGGGTATCCAAGGTGACCAGGGATTGGAACCAGCGCTTTTGTTTGGAACCGCTTATTATAAACTATTGCAACGATAGAGGCTGTGAGCAAGGCAGCAGAACCCTCACGGGCCCATCGCCGGCTTAAACCAGTTTCTGCTCACGGCATCTCTTTCCGCGTGCTCCCCGGCATCGCCCTGCTCCCCGGTTATTGGAGAGAGAAACCCATACAGCATTTCATTTCATCCGTACTTGTTCTGGTCTCTGTCTGCTGAGAGATGGACCAGGCAATGACCAGACCGTATATAAAAATAGGGCTCTGACCCAAGCCTGCCGCAGCCGGCCCAGGAAACCCGCCCGTTGTCTCAGTAACCAGCCCAGGAGGCCAGCAGGTCCCAGGGCAGACTGGGGGAGGGAATCAGACGGCTGCCTCTAGTGTGATCCAGGAAGCCCAGCGAGAACCCCGTGGCGGTCAGCCCCGCGTGGCCCGGGCTTGATTAATAACGGACAGCTTCCCTCACTTTTGTCCCTCCTTCCAACGTGTGGCCAACCCGAGAAAGCCAAGCACACGGGGCGCCCCGCTTCGAGGTGGCCGTCCCCCCGCTGCCCGGGCCGCAGTGCTGCCAGAGCACACCCGGGAGGCCTTCCCGCTCCGCTGCCGGCCTCTGAGCCTCTGCCAAACCCGAGTGACGTGGTGAGTCCCCGCCAGAGCGAGCCCGGAGCTCGTAGCCTTGCTTGTTTCCATTTGGGTGGCCTTCGCTTATTTCCAGTGTCCAGAAGGAAGTAAGACGCACACAGTCACATTTCGAAAACTCATCAGTCTTTCTCCGGGATCTGGCCAGGGCTAAACTCTGCCCGAGGAGGCAGCTTTCTCACAGTCTTCCGGCCCCAGGGCACTCTGGGTATAAACCCCGCCCTGGGCAGGTGTTTCTTGTCTCCTCTCCGCCTTGACCGGGGCCGTCTTTGCTCTCAGTTTACCCTGTCTTGTCAGATCCTTTCCCCTCTCTGCCTGCTCTGGCCCGTTCTCTAGGCCCACCCTGATTCCAGACCCCAGGTGAGGGGGCCCTGGGGGTGGGGTGGGGAGCAAGGGGGAGGCCGGCAGGAGCCCGGGGCACGAGAGCGAAGGAGGCTCCTGCTGTCGGGGGCGGACCCTGCACTTGCATGAGCCTGAGAGTCGGTGCCTCCGTCGGTTCTGGCCCAGTGCAGGCCCTGCTGGGGTTTGGGAGATTACGGGGAACAGAACCAAGTCCCGCCTCTAACCACACAGGAGGTGACAGGAAGGTGAAGAGTCCCCACGCTGGAAGGATATTTCTGTGCAGCGGGAGCTGAGTGTGATTGTTCTGGAATGGTTTCATTTCTACTGGGGCGGGAGTGGGGGGGGGGGCGGGGAAGAACTTTATCCCTGAAATCCCTGCAGGAAGAATACACAGTTGTAAACCTCCCTGAGCGGCTGCCTGGTCCAGAAGTTCTCGATCTTTGAAGCACATTAGGCTCCCGTGGGCCCTGCCGGACTTGTTTAGTGTGAAGCCCCGGGGTTGGGGCCAGGCATCAGGATTTTTCAAATGCTCCCCAGGGAATTCTCACATGGTCCCTGGGGGACCCACCCCAAGCGCCACTCCCCTTCCTCATCACGATCATTATCGCCAGATCAAGTTTTCTTCGGCCTGCGGCTATTGTATCAGAGCACAACAGCCTGTGTTTGTTGAATGAATAAGCGACCTAGACTCTGAAGGCCGGTGGGTCAGACGGGCAGGATCCAGAGTGGGTTCTTTCTAACTTCAGTGTTCTTTACTAACTCCAGTTCTGTTTACAAATGTAAAAATCTGGTGTAACCCAATGTACCCAAGCGCCCAGCTGCCAGTCACCATTTTCTTTAGTATCCAAATGAAAGAACCCATGCCTCTGCACACAGGATTGCAGTGCTCGGAGGACTGCTGAGGGTCCTGGGCGGGGCTGGCCTCCGTCAGCTCCGGCCATCCCCTCTGTGACCTTACTGCTCTGTGTCCTGGGGGCCGCACAGCGCAGGGGCCCTCCCGCTGTCTCGTGTCCCCAGTTAGTCACTCAAGGTGACGGTGAAGTTCATTGGCCTTTCCCACCACAGGGTCTCTTCTGGGCCACCTCCCTCTGTGACCCTGTGTGTCACAGCTCCAAGAGTGCCTGCCATCCAGACCTGCGCCGACAGCCCTGAGAAGCAGCAGGAACTCTAAAATGAGAGTTGTCTTTAAAGACTCTCTGCCCAGGTCTTAACGTGAGCTCAAGTCCAAGTGCAGGCTTCCCTCCCCCCCCCCCCCCCAGCAGCACTGTAGGAGGAAGGGGGCCTGGCGGGGGCGACAAGGAGTCTCAACGATTCCCCTCCTGCCTCTGCTCCGGGGCAAATTCATGCTGCAGATTGAGATGTCTCTGACTCTTGAGCAAGTGTCACCCGAGGCGACAACGGGGCAGCAGGGGCCAGAGGATGGGGCCCGGGGATGGGGACCACACAGGCTCCTGCTGTCCAGTGAGGAAGCCCAGGTGTGATCAGTGAAGTGAGGGGCCCCAGGGGGCAGAGCCAGCTTCCACTGCACCTGGCCGCCTGTGAACAGCAGCCCAGCGTTGCGTCGTTCAGGGGAGGACGGCTCCTCTGAGGTCAGCGCACCGGTGGCTCTGCCCCAGGGCCCTGTGCAGAAGAAGCTGGAAGGAGAAGCGAGGTCCAGCCAGAAGCCAGCGCGGCCTTGATGACAAGAAAGCAGGGAGATGAGGGGCCAGGGGCCTGCATCTGATCTGGGCCTTCTCGGTGACCCTCTGGGCCTTCGCTGGCCTCCGTCGGTTTGTCCCCGAGTCTCCCCACAAAGCCAGGCCTTGCGGGAGACCGGGGTGGGAGAGCACGGCAGAGCTCTGGGAGGAGGGAGTCTGATTCCTACAAAGACAGTTTGGCAGGGACTCCGAGAAGCGCCCCATGGAAGCCCCGCTGCTGACGTGACACATCAAAGCTGGCATGGAGACAGCACCAAGGCGGGGAGCGGCGGGGGGCGCCCGGGAGGGGCTGTGCTCAAAGTCAGGGGCCTGTCCCCTGCCGGGCACACCCCTGCGGGTGCTGTACCCCATCTGGACCTGTCTCCTTTCAACCCTGTTCTTTGACTGCCTTGCACCCCCTCGGCTCCCCCGCTGGGCCCCCCCCCCCCCCCCCGCCGCCCCGTTCTGGTACCTGTTTGCTGCCTCCTGAATGGGTGTTGTCAGGGACAGGAGACAAGTCTCAAGGGAAATGGGCCTCAGGATGGAAACTGACTCTGCCTGGGGTCGGGAGGGAACAGGAAAGGGCTGCCCCCCGCTGTTGACCCCCTCCCCTCACCAGCCAGCTGGGGGAAGTTTCCCCGGAGGAGCTAAGAGGATATGGGTGGGGCAGAAAGGTACCCCCTGGCCCCTGCCAGCAGCCTCTCGCAAGCGCAAGCGGGGTAGGGCTCTTGGCTGCTGGAGTTTGCTTATTTAAGACAGTGGCTCTCCAGGTGTGGTCGCTGGACCAGCAGCCTCAGCATCCCTGAGAACTTGTTAGAAATGCAGATTCTCAGCTTCACCCCAGACCCACTGGATCAGAAACCCTGGCGTGGGGCCTGTGACCTGTGCTCTCACAAGCTCTCCAGGGGTGCACCTCCAGGTGGAGGAATGACTGGCTTGAGCAAGAAATTGGCAAGGTGGGGGGAGAGGGCGGACGGAAGGACACAGGTGTCTCGGGGGTGCCGAACCCAGGGACCGGATGCTGGCTCGCTTCCCTCTTGCCTCTCTGGCCTCCTCGTTCTCGATGTGTCATACATACATCCCTTCTCTCTCTCCTGCTCACTCCTGCTCTTAACTTTCGCCGTCCGTTCAGTAGAAACCATAGTGGCCCCAGAACTTTCCAGTGGACACAGACAAGTCCGATGCTTCCCAGAGGACCCCCCTCCCTCACCCTCTCGCCGTCTGCTCTGTCTTCCTCTTCCGATTCCACATCGTGGAAAAGCCATTCTGATGAAGCTGAGACCTGGTTTCTCCCTTTGTGCTGGCTTTGTGTCCTCATGCTCCCCTCATACCTGCCAAGTGCCTGCCTTGGCTCCAGCCCCTCAGCTTGGGATCCACTGGAAAGCGAGGGCTCCTGCCTCTGGTGATTACACCCCACGTCCTGGACCTGATGCCTCTTGGTCAGGATTGGGACATGGACAGCGTCTGAAGCAATCACAGTGGCCAGCGGTGGGATGTACCGATCAACTTGGACCAATTAGGGTCCCCTACTGTATCTGATTGTGGGCTTGACCCCACAGAAACTGTACAAGGGGCATGAGGGTGGCTCCTCAAGGAATTTTGGGGGTTCTTTGCATTATAGGAGGCAGGGTGTATGGATGAGGGACAAAAAAATAAAAGGAAAAACTACAGAATTGCCACTCATTTCTCTGGATGAGGTGTGTGAAGCCCAAAGAGGTCAAGACTTGCCCAAGGTCACCCAGTTGGCTGGAGCTGCAGCAGCCATTATGTAGCCAAGAGTGGGAAGCTTGACCATGAACAGAGCCAGCCCAGGGCAAGCGGTGGGGAGGCGAGCCCTGATGCTGAGGGTGAGTCTGCGTTCTGCTCCCAGATTCCCCCACCCCCAGCAGCAGGCCTGCGTGTCTGGGATTTATTTTGACTTCCCACATCCTTTGTCAGAGATGTGAGTGTGAGTGGGGAGAGGTCTGGGCCCCTGGTCGTGCGCTACAGTGGGAGGTGACACAGACCAGGCATCAGTGCCCCCCTTGAGTGGAGCTGCTTGTCCAGACCCGTGCTGAGGAAGCAGCATGCAGGGTATATTAAGGGTACTCAGGGGCGATCATGACCGCGGCGCTGAGCCCTCGCTGGGGGCTGGGCGCGTCCCAGGCTCGCCTCGCGTACCACCTCGTTTTATCCTCATGGAAACTCTTTGAGGCACCTTGTCTTTGTCTCACTGACAAATGAGGAAACTGAGGCTCAGAGTATTGAAGACTCGTCCGGTGTCACTCAGCGGGTGGCCAGGGCCCAAATCATGAGTGTCTGAGTCCCCGACCAATCAGTGCCACCCCCCCCTCCCCCCCGCCGCCCAAGGGTCTCCCTATGAACATTCTTTACCCACTTGGCCTATCCTCCCCCTGACACCAGATATAACCTTCTGAAATCACTCTTTCTGAGGGCTTCAGAGCCCTCGGCCTCCTCTCCCTCCAGCTCCTGTCCCTGCCCTGTGAGCCAGTTACCCGGAATGCTGTGTCCCCAAGGAGGTCCTTCACCGCCGAACTTCTTTTGCCCGAGTGCAGCCTGCTCTTGTCAGGGGACCCATCCAAACAGCTTCAAGGGGAGGCAGGTGAGGGCGCTACCTGGAGAATGTGGAGGAGCTGGGTGCACAGGAGCTGAGCCCCTTTGGGGATCGCTCCCCCGTCCCTGGCTTCTCTCCGCCTGCGCCGGTGCCCCGTTCCCTCCGAATTCCGCTGCGTGGGAGCTGTCCCGAGCCCCTTCGCCGCACGCTCGCTGCCAGGACATAGTGGAAGGGAGGCGTGGACGCATTCTGCCACATGCACAAGCACTTACCAAAGCCCGTTTCTAAGCCTGTTCCAGAGGCGCCGCCGTGTCGCAGCTCCCGGTCTCTCCAGGTGCTCCGACCGCACTCCAGGCGGACACGACAGCATTCCGGAGGCAGGCTCTGGTGTCTCCGGACCCTCACAAATGCTGCCTCTAGAATGAAAGATCCAGGCTTTTCCCCAGTGGATACTTTGGGAAGTTAGGGAAAAGCGTTTGCCCCCTCTTTCTTATGGTCCCACTCCAGGGTCCCCAGCTTGGGGAAGGGAAGGGAAGGTAGATTTCTCGCCACCTGGGCGCCTCCTTGTGCACCCAGTGCACACCCAGGGGCCCTCATCTATGCCTGGTGGGAGCCCCCCGCCTGCCCCCCTGGGGGCTGGTTCAGCCCTGACATAGCTTAGGATGTGCGGTCTGGGGCTGGCCTGGGAGTCCGCCTTGGCCAAGCATTTGGGGTGTGTATGGAGAAGCACCAGCTTTTAATGATCTCGGGTCAAGGGGACACCTGGGAGGAGGTTTTCCAGGCGTCAGCTCTGGGGCCTTCGAGACTTGGTTGTAAAAACTGGGGTGTTGATTCTGGCCAGAGAAAGTTCAGAAGCGACACAGAAGGTCAGCCGCCCTTAACTTCCTACCTGCACAGGCTGTGCCCCCTTCCCCCACTTACCTGCCCTCGCTGGTGCTTAAGGGGCGGGGCTCTGGCTGCCCTGAGGGGGTTCAAGTTCAGCCTCTGCTTCTCCCTGCTTGTGTAAGCCAGTCCCATTCCTCCAGGAACTTTGAAACTTTCTGGGGAGATGGACATGAGCAGACCCCCAGAAGGCCGAGTGGTTAGAGCAATGACAGAGTTTGCCGTCGGGGATTATGGCGACCCCCAGCCCAGCCTGGGGAGGGTCACGGAGGGTGGCCTACAGGCAGTGGCACTTGGGCCACGGACCTGAGGGAACCCAGAGTCACTTGGGTGGGGTGGGGGGAGCATCTGGGCGGGGGCACGGGATAAGCAAGAGTGTCGAGGTAGGTGTGCACATGTGGTGGGGAGCACAGGGTGGCAGGGGGAGGGCTGCAAGGCAGGCCTGGACTTTACGGAGGCCACTGGGCAGTCAGCCAGGGACTGGCGAACCTTTGTGTCCACACAGCCAGCTCCTCAGCTGAGCCCGCTGGGCTGCCACTTACACATCCCTTGTGGCCCAGTGTGCGGGCTGAGGCCCTCATTCCATGTGTTGTCTTTCCTTTAGAAGGTGCCCAGCACCCTGCTCGTCAGACTGATTCAGGAACGTGTGAGTGAGGAGGACTGCATCAGGCGGGTAAGAAACCGCGTGGAGCGGCTGGGGGGCTCCCAGGGAGAGGGGCTCTGTTACCAGATGAAGGGCAGGGGAGGGGTGTGGGTTCAGGTCCTAGCACAGAGGTGACCCGGGGCCTGCAGAGAAGGGTCAGACAGACGACCCAGAGCTCCGTGAAGCTCAGTGTGTGAATTTCACCTTGGATTTAGCCAGACAACAAGGTGGAATCTAGGGTACCCATCGGGGGTCTTAGGAGAGAGCTGGCCCCACCCCAAGGGGTCACAGGAGAGCCTTTAAGGAAAGGAACGATGTGGAAGTAGGGGGTAGTTCAGGTAATCCACGAGCCCCTGAGACCAGCCCCACAGGGAGCTGGACACTCCTGGACCCGGAGGGGCAGAGGGAGAACTGGGGGTACCCCCGACTCTCTGCTGCCAGACCCAGTGAAGCCAGAGGGCAGGCGTCCAGACGAAGCAGCCCATCCATGGAGGTCAGCCTCCTGGGGCACAGAGGGGGTTGGGGAGGGCGGGGGGGATCTGGAGGGGCAGATGGGGGGCAACAGGAACGATGGGCACCGTGGGAGGGCTTTGCACACACTGACTCCTTGGGTCTTCAGAGGAGCTCTGTTGGGTCGGTGCTATGACTCCCCCATTTTACAGATGGGGACACTGAGGGTTGTTAAACCGTGTCGTATCCAGGCCTCTCCTCCTGGTCCACAGCTAGTCTTATTGTCTTCATGTCAGTGGCTTTCACAGAGCAAACGGTTTTAATTTTAACGAAGTCCAATTTATCCCGATTTGACCACTGTTAAAGTATTTCACTTTAATATATGTCTTGTGTGTTTCTTAAAAAATGTTTGTTTATTTTTGAGAGCGTGCAAATGGGAGGTGGGCAGAGAGAGGTGGGGACAGAGGATCCGAAGCGGGTTCTGCACTGACAGCAGCGAGCCCGACGCGGGGCTCGAACTCACAAACTGTGAGATCGTGACCCGAGCTGAAGGTGGACACTCAACTGACTGAGCCACGAGGCTCCCCTATTGCCTTCATTCTTGAGGGGTATTTGTCCCCGGATTCAGAATTCTAGATCCCCAGCTCTTTCTCCTCACGCCTCGCAGGGTCCCACCTCCTCCTGGCCAGCATGGTCTCTAGTGGAAGGACAGCCGCCCAAGCAGCGAGTCCCTTTCCCCAACTTCCTCCCAGATTGTCCTCTGCGTTCTCGGTTTCCAGCAGTTCAGTTACCAAATGGTTGGCATGCATTTCTTTGGATTCGTTCTTTTGGAGATTGGTTGAGTTCCTTGAATTTGTAAGTTCACATTTTTCTCCAAACTGGGGCAGTTTGGGGCCATCATTTCTACAGGTTCTTCAGGCTTTCTGCACCCTTCTCTCCCCGTCTCGTGTGAACAGTAGTCCTGCGGCCCCCGCAGGGTCGCCGAGGCTCCGTTCTCTGTTTCTCTCCCCTCTGTCGTGGACCAGATTATGAGGCTCACTGAGGAGGCCCTCTTTTCCCGTCTCCGTTCTCCTATTGGGCCCATCCAGCGAGCTTTTCATTTGGATTGCCACGTTTCTCGGTTTTCAAAATTCCAGTGGGCTCTTCTCGCTGTCTTCTGTCTCTGAGACTTTCTGTTTGTCCGTCCGTTTACTCGTTGGAGCTTTGTTGTTACCGTCATGGCTTAAAGCCAGCCGCTTCAGACGCCTCGCTGACTCCAGCGCCTGAGTCACGTCAGCGGCGATGTCTGAGGTCTGAGACATCCGCGGCTGTCCTTGTGCTGCGCGATTCTGTATCCCGGGCATTTTTCTTTTTGCTGTTGAGACCCTGGGTCTTGTTTGAATCCTACGGCGGGTGTTGATACTTTTGTCTTCGCGGGCAGTTGATTCATTTGGGCTCAGGCCGCCAGTTCCAGCCACCTTCTCTGTGCCGTGGTTCCCATCTGGGTTCTGTGTGCAAAGCCTCTGCGAGTGCCGTGCGGCTCCCTGAGGCTCTGTGCCATGTGTGTGCCGCTCAGTGGGGCCCGGGCAGCGGTCTGCGCCATGGCTCGGCCCTCGATGTCTTTAGAAAGCTGTCTAGGGTCGGACCCTTGCACGCACAGCTGGGAGGGAGCCCACGAGTCCATAGACATCTTTATTTGGTTGCTTTCCTGAACGCCTCGCTCTGCCATTTCCATGGTAACGCCCAGTTCCCTGGTGCTCCTCTCTTCGGTCCTCCGGCCAGAAAGCGGGGACTTTATTTGTCCCACTCTGCCACGGTCTTCCCGTGACTGCACCTGAGACTGGGGCCAAGCGGCAGGAGGACAGAGAGGGAAACATTACCGGGGCTTTGTCCCGGTCTCTAGGGACTGCAGAGGAAAGGCCCTCCGCCCCCTCAGGGTTTCGGGCACCTGCGGGCTCCCCGTGGCACCCCTACCGCAGTAGGCTTGCCTGGGGCCTGGGGTGCGAGGAAACAGGAAGGAGAAACGCACAGAGATCTCCCCGCTGTCCGAGTGTCAGGAATCCCCCCTCTCACCGCCCAGGTCGGGTGTGAGGGCCGCTCCTGGCCTTCTCTCGGGCCCTCCCTGTCACCTGTGCTCAGTTTCAGGCTGCCCAAAGGCCGGGTGGGGGTGCTGGTTTGGTGGTATTTTGAATTCTGTTCTTCCTCCCCAGTTCACCTGCTACTGTATACTTTTCTGATTCCTCGAGTAGCCGCCGCCTGCGTGCTGCCCACCCATCAGGGCTGCTCTCAGAAGGAGTGAGCGGGCGGACTGTGCCGACCTCATCGTGCCCAGAACACAGCTTACATGCCCGCGTTGTTTTAATGTGCATGTATCTGTACACATTCTCTCTCTCACTCGCTCGCTTAAAAATTCATTGAGAGGCCCAACTCTGGAAAGATCCCCGGGCATCTCTCCAGCGTGCTGGTGAGCAAGCAGCAGTTCTCACACTTGGTCACGCTTGGTCACGGCTTGGTCTGCACGGTCCTCGGCCCTGTGAGTCGAGACCACGAGCCACAGATAGGCTGCAGTCTGGGTTTCGAAAGCTGGTCTGAACAGTGTGTTTTCCTCAGACCTCAGCTTGTTCTCAGTCAGCTGATGGTCTCCTGCTGCCTGGCTGAGGCCAGTGCCCCAAGTTCAGAGGCCGTTCTAAACTGCAGATAGACGAACGTTTTCCAGAAACGCTTTGTGGGCCATATGGCCTCGTGTTGGAACTGCTCAACTCTGATGTAATGTGGAGGCAGCCATACGTGGTACAGAGATGAAAGGACACGGTTTGTCCCAATAAAACTTTATTTACAAAAATGGGCAGCAGGCGGCTTTGGCCCGGGACTCCTAGTTTCCGGACCCCTGTTCTAAGTGCTACTTTCACACCATTATGAAAAACGCTTTTGCCTTCTCCGGGGGAGGGGCAGAGAGAGAGGGAGACACAGAATCGGAAACAGGCTCCAGGCTCTGAGCCATCAGCCCAGAGCCTGACGCGGGGCTCGAACTCACGGACCGCGAGATCGTGACCTGGCTGAAGTCGGACGCTTAACCGACTGCGCCACCCAGGCGCCCCTCTCTTCATTTCCAAATAAAAAGCAAACGTCCCCCCTCGTGCACCAGGGACCCCGCCCTTCATTCCCTAACTTCCCTCAGGCTCTGTGTCCACCGCCCTGTCTGATCTGGCCCCTTCCTCTGGGGCAGGAGCAGTGAGGTTGGGGGGTCATGTGGCCCCAGTGAGCCAGGAGGAACTAAGGCCCTGGAGGAGGAAAGTGAGACAGGACCCGGGCTCCATGTCCAGCCTGGAGGGAGGGGGCCTTCATTCCTCCAGACCCAGTTCCCACCCCCACCCCCACCCCCTTGGGTTAGGTCTCAGCAGAGGCCGGCCTCAGTTTCTTCTTCCCAATAGGCCTGGGGGCAGCCCTTCCCCGGCCCAGTCCTGGTCCAAGCACCAGCCTCCCTCCTGCCCTGCCTGCTGCCTTCTCTCAAGGTTCTCCCTCCCACCCCTCCCCAAGTGAAATAAAGCCTCCTACACACACACCCCCCCACACACAGCAAACTTCCACCTTCCAGCAGGGTTAGAAGAAAGGCCCCTTAGCCATAGGCTCATTTGAAGACTTGTCACCTGCTCCCAAGCCCATCTGGCTCAATTCCCCCTACTCCAGTCAAGTGCCTTGTTGCAGGCACCACGTGGTCTTTGCTGCTGGACCCTTTCCCTCTGCCTCAGCCCCCCACGAGCAAGGGGGTCCCTTGGTCTTGAGCTCACCAGCTGCAGTCGGATACGGCCTTGCATGCCCAAAGGAGGGCCAGCTGTCAGAAGGGCCGTGAGGGCCACTAGCCAGGCCAGGAGAGCCAGGTTGTTACAGAAACCTCCAGAGATGGGGCCGGCGTGGTCTGTGGAGGGGCTGTCTTGGCGGGGGGCGGGGAGGGAGGGTGGCAGGCAGAACGAGGCCCGGACCCCCCTTCATACCAACCTCAGATCGGTTCTTCTTAAAACTGACCCATCGGTCGGTCACCCTCTCGAAGGTTCCGTCTCTTTTATCTGGGAGGTGCCGAAACAGTCATTTGTCAGGAATAAAGGGGGAGGGGACGGCCTCCTAAGTGACTAGAAACGGGCCGGCACTTTCCGGACAAAACACTCTATGCCTTAATCCATAATTGATAATGAGTTTGCCAAGTCAAATTAAACTCTTACGTTGCAGATCACCAGGCTGGAAGCGTTCAGGTCTGTTTCTCTCTTCCCACTTCAGGGCCAAGCTACTTCTCTACTGCTTAGGGCCGTGCTGGTCCCGTTTGGCTGAATGTTGGGCATTACTCCTTGGGCATGAGCGTACCCGAGTCACCGGGACTGGGACCTGGCCGCGGGATGGGGGCTGCATTTAAGAGAGCCAGAGACAGCCTTGCACGTGGGGCTGGTCCAGGATGCTGAGAGCTTCTGGAACCAGGGCGTGGTAGCTGTGGAAGGGAGTAACCCTTGGGTTCCTACCCCAGGAATCTCACTCGCCTGAGCGATGTGGCCTCCTCTCGAGCCACAACTGCTCCCCGGCCCAAATGCTGTCCCGGTGGGGGCGGCTCCGTG